TTTTTCTAGGGGCGGGAGAAGGCCCGCCATTGCTCCCACGTCACTCCAGCAGTGTTCAATAACATTTCATCGTGGGAAACCAGGGACCGTGGTGCCCAGGTTACGCACATTTCACAGTCACGCAACTACCATTAGTTCATAGCGGTGTCACGCTAACTCCGTGCTCGTGTGATAAATTACTTTATCACCATCAGCTCTATCAGATATCAGTAAGCTTAGAAGAGGCAAGCATTTTGCCAATGGCGTTGTTTACTACTCTCACGCCGTCTTACGAAATCAAGTCTGCTGCATGTTCAAAAAAGAAATGAACGGGGTGGAAAGTCTGATTTCAGCTCAGGGCACCACTCAGCATCCGGGTGCGCGTATAACTAGCAGTAAGGCAAGATTGCTGTGAGCACGCATGAGCCCATCCACCAATTTTTGGGGAAACATTGGACTTCCACGGCAGTGTTGTAGATGTTTACAGCTACAACTCAGTTTTCATGGGAAAAACACGAAATTTTCTTCCAGAAAAATACATTCCTCAGAAGTTTTCAGAGCGATCGATGGTCCTGAATATCGCGTCATTATAAACACGCACATTATTAGGGGAGAATGCTGCCCACCATGTTTTTTTGTGATAGCGTCAAATCTTAGAGGTGTTTGACGACAAATCCTAGAGCAATAAGAACCAGAAAGTGGAAGTCGAATGCACCAAAAGTTAACAAAGGATCCATATGTCAGGATACAAACACATGAAATCAACGTGTCCATTGGTCCGATTTTTGCGATAGCAGTTACCGCCTGACGCAAACGCTCACCGCGTTCGTCGGCCGGTCGCAGCCGCGATCAGCCACTCCTAGCGTGCTCAAGCTACCGCCGAATGGAGGGCGTGTGTTTTGGGAAGCGCCTCCTACGCCGATGCTATTCTTAGGAAGGGTGTGTCCTTATCCGGGGCAAGCCGTCGGGTCGACCTCGGCCCGCACTGCGTCACGTCATTACGCATTGACCGGAAGTGGGCGTCACCATTCGCGGCACACGAGGGGACGGCGCCCGGCGGCATAGATGATCGCAAACACCTCGCACGTCTTTGACTTCAGACTACACGCACCGCCAAACTGCTGGATGGTGCATGCGCTTGGGAAAGATCTGATCAACGGAGTGAGCATTGCTAATTTTTTTTCAACGGGCACCTAAGGTGAATATCTTGGGTATTTAATGTATGAGGAAAAGCGGCTTCCAAACGAATTTACCTCTTTGTGCCAGGTAACTTGCAGCCTCCACTAGCCTAGCCGCTGCACATAGCCATTACAAGCCAGTATCCCGACCCTTGGCTGCAAAAACTGAGTTCAGTTTCCTTGCCTGAGTATCCCTGCTCAGCCCACCAACATGTTCCGCGAAACGACGCATCTAGTTTCATAATCCGCAACAGGCAAGGTCGTGGCCTGCCTTACTTCTTTGCGCGTACAGTGCTATGATAAATATATAGCTTCTGCATGCTTATTTACACATCCACTGAGTTAAGCACATTCAAAGCACTTAACTTCAGAAGCGATCAGAAAACTTATCCAGTTGCTAAACTGCGTTCAAATTGTTCTGACGTTGGCCAGGATTCAACATGACCTGCCTTCGTTGTTTATTGGTGTTTCAGGCGCGCCGACTTCAATGGTCATTTTACGTCCGTATATGACCTTGTTTGACCCCAAATATAGGACATTACGTCATAATTGCTACGTAGTGTGTGCGTTACATCCACTACTTAAAAACCGCTCACAGTTTGTTTGCATAAGCAATTGGGAAACTTCAGCGTAAGCTTACAGCGTTGCAATGAAAGAAACGACCCAAAGTGCCCCTGAGCCTGCCCCTCCCAATCGCGTAGGCTTACCGCGGTGCATTAAAAGAAGCACCCGAAGTGCCTCTGAGCCTGCCCTTCTCAATTCCGTAGGCTTACGGCGCTGGATTGAAAAAAAAAACGAGCCAAAGCGCCTCTGAGCCTGCCCCTCCCAATCCCGGACAAACTACCGCCCTGCCGGCGCTGTGTGCCGCCGGACGGACGTGGTCAGCACAGCCCGGCAGTGACATGGTGCCGAAGATTATCGCCGGCCGTGGGGGCACGCTGGCAGCGGCCCAGAAAAGCCCACCGCAGATGGCAACGCGGATAGTCGACGCCGCTTAGGGAGATAAGGGCACACGAGGAGTGGAGGGCAGAGGGCGCCTGATGGAAGCCTGGAAACACCTGCACACTCTGTAAGGCTAAAACTGTCATAACATAATCAAACGCCGATGGCACAGCGGCAGCCTTGAAAATCAGACAACTGAGACCCCCAAGGGCGTTTTTGATCATCAACAAATTAAGGACATCTGACATAGCTGACCCTTTCCACGTCGTCCTGCAACGTAACGCTATGTCTTAAGGCGGTGTCATAACTGAAATTGGCAGCGGGTGACCTCATCTCTCGTAAGATCTGTGTTGGCGTTACATGTCGTAGAACTGCTGCAGCTCTAATAGCAAACTCTGCGTGGAAAAGCACGCCAGATTCATTAGGATGAGGCCTCGCAACTTTTTAAGGAACTAACTCAACAATGTTCTTAGGTATGGCCAATCTTTCCAAGGGATTGAAACACAGAAGGAATAAACTGATTGCAGGGACCTAAGCGGTACCACCCTTGCGTCGTGTTTTTGACTGACATAGCCGAATTCAATGTGATGCCTCGATAGACATTCCAGCTTCTGACGCTGGAAGTGATTTTCTGCGAAACCATTTCATAATAAACTCGAAGAAACCTACCACGTGACCAGAGATGACAACATCGGCTGCAAACGTTCCAGCCGCAAAAGGCCGCCCGCTGGCGGTAGGTGATTGGATGGATGTCACGCGGGAGACTGCCCAGGATTTCGTTTAAGGGAATGTTCCACACATGAAGGCATTGAGGCAAACATCAGATATGATGAAATAGTCCCACTCATAGCTATTGCTTTCTATGGGCAAGACTGCTCTGCACAACACAATTCCTCTATTTGGTAAACATGCTCCTTGATGCGTCATCGTTTAATTGCATCAACCAAACGACGTCATGACGTGAGAGAGGGTGCCAAACTGGCCGTATGATATTGCCACCCTAGCAGACGGGCTGACTCACTTGAGGTACTTCAATTTCTCGAGAGATGTCGTGGTAATAGGTACGGAGTTTCCAAAACCCGAATGTTTTTGTGTGCGCACGTTTTGGCCCTTTTCGGGGTGTTCTTGCAGATAAATCCATTATTTTATCTTCTTTGCTTGTATTCACACACTCGGTCATGGCGTTAATCTTTACAAGTTATTCAAGAACAAATCTTTGTCTCAGTACTTACTAGTGCCACTGTCCAACTTCCCGTGTCATGTAGCTCAAAACTTGATTCATATTTGTACAAGTACGTCAAACTGAATCACGTGCGCCAAGCAAGAATAGCTCGATGATGGTTGTCTCGGATCTTTAACCCCACATGGCGAATGTGGTGGCACCATCTGAGTGAAGTTCCTATGGCGACATGCATGCCTGGGTCACCTTCACAGAGTCTGCATATCATCGCGGGCATGTAGATCAAGAACTAGAGGGTTTTACGTCTTAAGAGGGGGGGGGGGGGGGTGTGAACAGCGTCGAACGATCTTCAAAATGTTTTTTTTTCGTTCAGAGCCGTGCACAAATGTGGAGCACTCCCTTTAAAGACTGGCCATGTCACTTCCCGGACAGCTGGGACTGATCAGGTGTCCCTGAGAAGCCCGATTGAGCCCGTTCCAAATCCACACTCAAAATGGCGTAATCTTTTGAATTTCAGTCCCAACACCACACATGCTAGAGATACGTCGTCCGCTCATTTTCATGGATTAGAACCATGTTCAAGCGCCTGAGACCCGGAATGATTCAACCGGTAATCAATTTTGCAAGGCAGGTCAGTTCTTTATGCCCGCAGGCCGGCACGTAGCCCGAATGGGGTCTTTAGCCACACGTCCCCTAGATTCATCACTGAGGGACGAATTTTCCCACTCGTAATACTGATACCCCTAGCCAGGCCTGCCAAAATCAGCCAACAGGTCCATGTCCATCTTACTCTGCAGCTATATAAATCTACAATTTTATGTTTAATTGTTGTTTCTGTGATGCTTTTTTCGGGGGGGGGGGGGCAACCGCAGATGAGACTTTTCTGAACGTGTCTTTAAAAACGTAGTAGTGGAACAAAGATGAACAATGCTGATGTTTCTTTGTTCTGCTTTCCGGGTCCTCCGTTCATCGGACCAGAGAATGGATTGGAACGGATTCGCTTTGCACCGTTCGTGCCGGCTTCTAAGACGATGCCAAGCCATGGCAGGCCCCGGACGAACAAGACCACGAGGGCCGCGAACCGAGCCACCGTCCGGCTGCGTAGCGGGAAAACCTGACAGCAACAAGCCGACTGAAGGCCGGCGGTTCCAGATAGTTGAAATTTAACTGCGTCAGCCCGGATGTGGGGAGAGGCAGAGGTCAGAGCATGCAGTAAAAGCCAGTGCTTAGCGTACGCTTAGGGCACATGGCCATCCACATAAACCCTTTCCAACTACATCACAAAAAAGCTGCATCACCGAAACTTACGTCCCGCCTCCGATGACCATTCACATCTATGACATCGCTGTTAATAAACGCAAATGACCTGTACAGGCTAATTGACGCCGCTGATTCGCGCTGACTGGGACCAAACGTACGTGGTCAGTACAGCCCGCCGGGGACACGGTGCCAGATTATCGCCAGCTGTAGGGAACGCTGGCAGCGGCTCAGCAAAGCCCACCGCAGATGGTAACGCGGATAGTCGACGCCGCTTAGGGAGATAAGGACACACGAGGAGTGGAGGGCGGAGGGCGCCTGATGGGAGCCTGGAAACACCTGCACACCATGTGCAGGCTAAAACTGTCACAAAAACCAACCGCCCGGTGTTACAGCAGCAGCCTTGAGACGCCAGGCCGTCTGACGGCTCGGCAGAGAGGTGCGTCACTCATCCGGCCACTTACAATCTGTACTTGAGGTCCGGCGATCCCTTGTCCAGACAGTTGGCATACTGGTTGAACTCGTCCAGGCACGAGCGCTTCACCTGGCGGAAGAACTCGAGCGCGCACGACGTGACGGCTCGGCCCTCGGCCAGGCACTTGCGCGGGTCCTTCTCCTCGTTCCGGCACAGCATGAACTCCTGTGGGCGACGGTTGCGGCGTTAGGCGCGTGCAGACGGCGCGCGCGCACACACGCGCATACAACACAAGTGGCGCTCGCTCAGCGGGCCTGGCGCGCTGACAATCCCGGCAGAGGGACTGGACCTCCCACAAGCGGTTATTCAGGATAGTGCTTCCCTAGGACAAGCGAATAATTCAGGTTCCAAGAGGTTTTTCGGCCCATGCAAATTGAGCGAAAATGACACATGACTATTCCCGCTTGCCGTAAGCTTTAACATCGTGCCTAAAAACACTGTCATGATTTCACAATCACTATGGCTTGCTATCACCTGCCATGGGTCCGCACACACAGTGCAGGACAGATCTGTGCATCCTCACACAGTACATGGCGCATCTGTCGCCCCGTTTTGCAACAAAATTGCACATTTGTCCAACGTGATGCCAAGTCCCCGTCACGGCGTCATTCCTGAAGTTGTGCAAAACCATTTTTGTAGATAAGACAGTGCGAGGTTAACAAAAATTTTACAAAGCGTCATTCTACACACAGAAAACTAGTATATGCATAATGCTCCTCGCAAATGCACTTAACAACTTACGTTAAGCCATTGTCACGTAAATTCCACTTGCTGCTGACCCTTAGGAGTGGAAGATCCTTTCGAGCATATCAATACAAACCGCTAATCTGCAGGCGCACAGGTCATCTTTGATGGTCTTTGGTGGATAGACAGCAGGTTAATGGTCTTGCTGAGGTCAACCGATACTGATCGATCATGGCCCTCTTTCCCGCACTTGATTCGTCACGACTGTATACAGACGTGCATAGTTGACAAAATGTCCTCCCATACCCAGAAACATGGCAACACCTCGACTTCACCTCCCCAGGCCTCGATGTTGATTAGATCCGAAGTGTCATTAGTGAACTCAAGAGTTCAAACCGGGCATCGCTGGACTTCACATCCCCGGGCCTCGATGTTGACTAGATCCGCAGTGTCATTAGTGAACTCAAGAGTTCAAACCAGGCATCGCTGGACTTCCCAAACACCAGTATATACACTGGCTTCTGCTCGCCACTTAACTTTAATTCAGGACCAAAAAGGGAGAGCCATCCACTCCGCACCGCCCAAGACGGAAGTGGGGAAAGCCCCCTCCCGACGATGTTCACTCAAAGACGAATTTCGGAGGGTTTTTGAAGTGAATAGACATGTAGAGCCTCACCCATTGCCGTTGCGCCCGGCTTTGTTGTGACAGTGCTGAAATATTCCGGAGGGATAAGTCCCACTACCCATAGCCACCTGGCGATAACTATTCCGCATGATCCTCGTGTCGCTAGGCTACCATGTTTGCAATATACAAGCGAGAGTGCAGAATCCTGGCATCCTGCCAAACATCTGGCATGTTGTCACTTGGAAACGACCGGTTTGAAACGTTTGGTAAGCGTAAGCGTTTTAGTGTTGGTTCAGGCGACGATTTGACCCCCACATTCGCCTAATCTGAAGTGATACACGTTAAGCGGACCACACGAGTTGCCACATGTCAGGAGCATTCAGATGCAGCGTTTTTCGTCCAGGCACGTGGCGTACACACCGGCGAAGTCGGTCTACATCCACATGTCGTGATCAATGCAATTCCACAAGTTTGAAACATGCTACCGTGACGAGGATTCAATCGGAGTTGGGCCGGAGACGGGAGGGCAGTGGAGGGGAGTTGAGGGGGACGGAACAGTGCGCAGGACGGGCTGATGTCCTCATAATTCTTGCTTTGTGGCGACATTATCAATCCAGACATGCGCATGGTCCTCTGTAATGATAACACCTTCCCGCTGGTTGCTTCATCACAGACCAAACTCTCGGTCTTGGTTCCAGTCATCTCATTCTCAAGACGCAGCTTCCACCGTGTTTGGGATTGGTTCTTTAAAATAAAAATCGAGACCTAAGGCCACGGCTCAACCGTTTTTATTTGCTTTTGTTGCAACCCTGAATCCTAGCTTGCTCGTTCTTTCGCAAAGATGCTGAGCCTTGGTTCCCACTTGTTCTTTCGCTAAAACCAGGTGCCGGAATTTCGTTCTAACATGGTTATTTGGTTACGAGGGCCCCACATCCTATTTATCATTGATCCTATTGCAAGTAAAATGGCTCATTTTTCCTTACGTAGCACGACGAAAAGCGACCACTTAGCCCCCTAAAGTATTTCATATCTAACCATTCTGAAAACATAAAATAAACCACTATGCCCAAATTTAACCTCCGTCAATTTGTAACTAAAAGTACCTAAATCTCCTACAGGCAAAACTAATACAAAATGACTGGGAGCGTCACACATGGTAAAACGCAAAAGTGAACACAATGTGCCTGGAATCTGTCACATGGACACGCATGTAAAAAGCTGAAACGTCAGCAGGACTATATCAATCGTTACTGGACAGGCACGTGAAAAGTTGAAACGTCAGCAGGACTACATCAATCGTTACAGGAAACGTAAGTACAAAGTTGAAACGTCAGCGGGGACTATATCAATCGTTACTGGACACGCATGCACGAAGTTGAAACGTCAGCAAGAACCACATCAATCGTTGCTGAATATCATATATATACTACATAGTTTATGAACGGCAAAATGCATACACAACGAATGCTGAACTCAGCACGCTAAGACAACTGGAACACATAAACAGTAAATATGAAACGAATTGTTCACGATATATGCCGGCTGTTTTAACAAAGTGCCAACATAATCTCCCTGAACCTTATTTCAGACAAGTTTTACCAACCGAACGTGAACAAAGACACTTCAATACTTGAACATGCCATGCATCACCATTTATCCCCAGACAAAGAACATGCAAATCAGGAAGTAAAATATGAATATGCGTACACTTAAGAATTGTTTCTATTTTCCTTATCGTGCAAATTCATAACCTTCATGGAACAACGATGCTGCACTGCGCCTTACTCCGCTCAGCTAAGGTTACTGTCGTTACCGTCTGTGGTACCTAAAGCTCTGTTGACGCAGCCCAAGCTGCCGAGAGTAAAGGTGCTTGAGACACAGCAAAATATTCTGCATGGGTCCGGAATCCAGCTAGGTTAAACGGAGAAGCATTCTGCCCGTGGCTAATGAGATAATCATGGCCACAGGCCCTGGACACCACGCAGTAAATTTACAACTCGGCCTACGGGCAAGGAGTGCGGTAAGTAGGGACATCCCATCGATAAAATTCCATGTAAATGTTTACTGCTCCATCCCGATGTGTTTCATTGTTTTTTCCCTCGTGAGGTGACTTCTTTGTTGACAGAGTTCTTACGAGACCCCTGGATGATTGTGTACGACATTTTTGCAGATATTCTTGATGCTTGTTGGCTGTATGCCGTACAGTGCATTACGTAGCTTTCATAAGATTCAGTGGATAATAGCATAACTTCCATAACACGGGCTCAACATACCTTTCGGCCGCTAGCCATCTCCAGTGCTTCGGGTTACTCTTCGTGCAATTTCCAATGCTTCTACTGTTATTCATTTCGTTACTAATACGAGCACATCTGAGCATTACATTTGAATTGACAGCATGTACGCGTAACCTGTTATTTTTCATATCCCCAAAAAGTCGGATTTGTAAGATAAATGCTTCTTACCCACCTCAGGCCATTTTATACTCTTACAACTGTGCCTTACCATGTTCTATGGGAATATGATATTCAATCCACTGAACACGCCTGGCGCATATTTACAAAGACAGGTAGCCCCCAAGTAAGCGTAGGTAAGCGCGGGACTGACATCTGAGACGATACTAGAGGGATGAAAGGGTTACGATATGGTAGAAAAGGTCGGCGTTTGGCCCAACTCCAGATCAGAAGAGCAGGTGAGGAACTGTTGATAGGGGCACCTGGGTAGAGCAGTGACCAGGCCCGCTTGCACTTCCCCGACCTACCCATTCGATGCGAAGGTGGGTTACGACCGAAAAAACTGACTGCAAGATATGCAACCTTCTAAACTCGTCCCGTCTCCAACGTCAGTGATGGCTCTGCCTGTACTTTGCTCCGGGTGTACTGGCTATGCCATCACGCATCATATAACGAGGCCCTGCATCCGGGAAGCGTTAACCGGATCCAAGAACACGGCTTGTATCAGATTGACAGATTATCTTGCGAGCTTCTCGTCTCTTTTACGGCATTCTGTAACAGGAACCTAACTGCAGGATCTAAGAAAACTTTAGGCCGAAACGTTGGTTCACGACAAGACTTCCAGGAAGCACGCTTGGTATTTCTGGATCTACTGGCATTTCGGACAAGACTACGGTTGTTAACGGATCGGATCACACACCAGGTTCGAGCCTGCTCTCGCGGGATCCCTCAGCACCATCCCAGGCCGGACCGCGGACCTCCGCTTATTGCCGGATTTTTCGACGATGTTGAATGCTGCCACATGGTCCATGCTGAATTCCTCAGCAGCATCCCAGGCTGGCTTCCGCGTTCTTTTTGGTTCAGGAATCCTGGACATTTCCGGAAAAAATATGGGGAGCTAGACCCACGTATGCTTAACACATCCTTGGTGATTACAAAGGCATCGGGCTAAGCAGACTGTTTATACTTTTCTTAAAAAAGACATAGCACGTGCATTCTAAAATGCAAACCTAAACTACAACAAATCACAAGCAACTGGCATAGGGCCGCTTTTGCGCCTTCTCATTAACCGCAACACTGGATTAAAACCCAGTCTCCACGGACATGCTAACTGACATGGTGAAGGCCTATTAGGCGCGTATTAAACCGTTCAGTGCTTCATCGCCGAGGAAAACATGTTTCGCTAGAAGCAAGCCACGAAATGAATCATAGGAGAACCTGTTATGAATATGAATACACGAACATAACACGACCATGGGTATGAACGAATGTGAACGAATATACCGAAACTTTCCACATGTCTAGCTGGAAAACGAGTTTTTCTTCACTCAATCAATTTTAGCTCGTGGGATCAATGACGTACAGAAGATACAGGCTACGAGATGAGTAGAAACGTCCCATCTAGC